TAATCCCCGAGGGGAAATTCAGATGTTTAACAGCAACAGGGTGAGATTGAAAAACAGGACAGCACAGATTCACACAAGATTAAAGATACAATTAAAATTAACAGTCAAGTAACTTTTTAAATAAGAAATGAACTAAATGAACATATATATTTGGGACATAAATACATATTAAATATATGAACATGTTTCATATCAGAGAAGAGTAGCATAGATTAGTTTTAAAATCAGTTAAGAGAAAGCCTGCAAGAAAGCCAGGAAATGTTATACGTGTTCCTGCTTTTCACTGTTTCACTGAATACCTTTGGGTCTTGCAATGACAAATAAAGATCTTTGAAGATATCATGAAAACAATCCTGCCCACTGCAATAACTCTCTATCACAAATCTCCTCTGGCTGGAAGAGAACTCTCTGCTCCATAGCTTATAACTGTCTATTACTTGTGTCTACATTTCTCTGTTGTCTAACCTGTAGGAGTCCAGCAGCAGATCCAGGATGATGGACAGGTTGGTCATGGAGATGTATCGCAGGAAGCCGGCGGAGGCCCTGCTGGGGTCAGAGGTCCCCGGCGTGACCCTCTCACTTCCTTCAGGCTGCTTCACGAACTCCTCCATCAGGATGTCTTGCAGATTCTGCAGCAGCACCTGGTGCGAGAGCAGACTCACAACGATGGTGCGGAACGGGATCCTGCAGGATGAAGAAATATTATTTAGAACGTTTTTAAATTAAGATTCATTCAAGATAGTAGTTAGTACAAATAAAATAGATACGGAACTTTTTTTTCTGAATTATGACTTTTTACAGATCTGTCAAATTTCCTGATTTTTTCAGATACAGATATTTTGAATGTTTTTAAATTAAGATTCATTCCAGACTCAAGGCTTCTATTGTCATTTGTACATAGCTACAGTGTAGATATGTCATTGAAAATCTTAGGTCACAGGCACCTCCAACAGAGCAACACAATAAAACAGATACAATTGTGCAAGTAAATACAAATAAAATAGATAAGTAAGTAATCTGTTGCAGTTTTGAAGTTTACGGAGAAAATTATTTGGGTTTTGGAGCAGCTTAAATATATATTCCCCCTCAAAGTATACCACATTTAACATATCACGTATGTAAATCACGTTACAGAAAAACAGCCTTACCCAATTTTCCTGAAACCCAGCAGCAGAAAAACAAGCAAAGCCAGTTAGTGAGGGTTAAATGCTGAAAATGTACAAACTAGAAATAGGAGAAATTAATATTCTATACTTATAATGCTAAAGAAGCTAACTCAATGCAGGAGATGGATCATTGCGAGTGTTTTGAATAATAACCTCTTCTGAGCGTGTCCGTTGGCCTGCGGGTCGGCCGGCAGCTCGATGATCAGAACGCAGGACTGAGCGTGCTCAAAGCCCTCCTTGTTGTTGGGCGTCTTTGGAGAGCACTGGGTGTCCAACATGAAGACCTGGGACACAAAGAGGACACGTCATTTAGTAACGATAGTAATAATAATACAAGGGATTTCATTTTGGGTAAAGAGATTCAAATCAGAAATCTGACTTTTTTCTAAGAGTCCTGACTTTTTTGACTGTCTTTTCCAAAATTCGGACTTTTTGACTGTATTTCGTAACTCAGACTTTTTTTCTCGGAATTTAGACATTCTCAAAAAATTCAGACTTTTTCTAAAAATGATCACTTGAGAATGATTTCAACGGTCTACTTCAGTTGGAAGAGTTATAACCAGGGCTGATAATCCGTTACAAATACTAGTTACCTGTAAAATGCCACCAGTAACCCAATCTGAGCATCACAATAATAATGTTATAGTTGTATAAGATTAATGGTTAGAGAAAACAGCCCAATGAGCGTGCAAAATAACGTTAGACTCGACCAATGCTGCGCCTTCTCATATCGGTTATATTGAGTCAAAACCTCTCCGCAAACGTCACTTCAGCACGTTGTAAATTGGAAAAAATGCTTCATTCCAGGAAAGTCCGAGAGCATGATTCAAACACCAGCTGCAGATAGCAAACCAGTACAGTTATACAGTATAATGATAGTTTAGGTTCTGACAAGTTAGAAGACACAATATTTAAGGACTCAATATGAGGAAATTATGGAAATGATGTACGTTTATAATGTCTGTGACAACTTAAGACTTTGAGAAATTACGTATTCAGTTTTTTTCAAGGCAATTCAACACGTCATAGGCTCCTGTCTCCAGTCTCTTTCTTAAGATATCCAGATATTACACAATGAATAACTCTATGGGACACTACATTACCCGCTCTAAAGCACATGCAGTGCTCCTCTCATGGTGTTTGAGTCACAGTGTTTAGGTCTGACCTGCTGAGCCATGGCTCTGATCCTCCAGTACTCGGCCTCGGCTGCAGGAGAGTGAGTCGGAGCCGCTACCTTCACCTCACAGGCATCTCCGGAGAAACTGTCCGACCCGCTGTGGAAACATGCCAGCAGGTTCTAGGAAAACACAGACAGAAAGGTCAACATGCAGGTTGTTTTGTTTATCTATTCAAAAGATAGCATGTCTTGATAGGTAAGGCAAGTTTATTTATACAGCACCTTTCAACACAAGGCAATTCAAAGTGCTTTACAAAAATGAAAGACATGAAGAGCATTAAGAAACATATTATAAAATGACATTTAAAAACACTCATTTAAATGCAAAGATAAAAAGCAAAGATAATAAAAGTTACAGTGCAGTTTAAGATGTGAATAGTTCAATTAAAAGCAGCGGCAAAAAGAAAAGTCTTCAGCCTGGATTTAAAAGTAGTCAGAGTTGCAGCGGACCTGCAGGTTTCTGGGAGTTTGTTCCAGATATTTGGAGCATAATAACTGAACGCTGCTTCTCCATGTTTAGTTCTGACTCTGGGGACAGAAAGCTGACCACTCCCTGAAGACCTGAGAGATCTGGATGGTTCATCATTTAGCAGGAGGTCAGAAATGCATTTTGGTCCTAAACCATTCAGTGCTTTATAAACAGCTGCAGTATTTAGAAATCTATTCTTTGACGGACAGGAAGCCAGTGTAAAGACTTCAGAGCAGGAGTGATGTGATCCACTTTCTTAGTGTCAGTGAGGAACCAGTGTAAAGACTTCAGAACAGGAGTGATGTGATCCACTTTCTTAGTGTCAGTGAGGAACCAGAGTAAAGACTTCAGAACAGGAGTGATGTGATCCACTTTCTTAGTATTAGTGAGGAACCAGAGTAAAGACTTCAGAACAGGAGTGATGTGATCCACTTTCTTAGTGTTAGTGAGGAACCAGTGTAAAGACTTCAGAACAGGAGTGATGTGATCCACTTTCTTAGTGTCAGTGAGGAACCAGAGTAAAGACTTCAGAACAGGAGTGATGTGATCCACTTTCTTAGTGTCAGTGAGGACTCGAGCAGCGGTGTTCTGCATCAGCTGCAGCTTTCTAATAGATTTTTTATTGAGACCTGTGAAGACACCATTACAGTAGTCCAGTCTACTGAAGATAAAAGCATGGACAAGTTTTTCCAAATCCTGCTGTGACTTTAGTCTTTTAATCCTAGATATGTTCTTTAGGTGATAGTAAGCTGATTTAGTAACTGTTTTAATGTGACTGTTGAAACTCAGGTCAGAGTCCATGACTACACCTAGATTTCTGGCTCTATCTGTTGTTTTGAACATTGCAGACTGACTTGTCTCCAAAAACCATTACCTAAGTTTTATCTTTGTTTAATTGGAGAAAGTTCTGAGACATCCAGTCATTGATTTGTTCAATGCACTTACTCAGTGTTTGAATTAGAGCATAGTCTCCTGGTGAAATTGTTACGTACATTTGTGTGTCATCTGCATAGCTATGGTAACTTCTTTTGTTGTTCTTCATTATCTGAGCCAGTGGTAGCATGTAGACGTTAAAGAGAAGAGGCCCCAAGATGGAGCGTTG